AGGACTCCACACCAGGTTAAACCTGATCTTCCTGGACCTGGTGGGGAGAGGGTGAAACGACATCAGGAGCATCAATTTCGGATACAAGATTCCGTGAAACGGGAGAGACAGTTCATTTGGGGGACGAAGTTTGGTGTAGGAACCATGGGAATGGCCCATTGTGGGTGAGAGACATGGTGGATGCAAGGTCAGGTCTAGTGATGTATAAAGCCCAGCTTGCTGACTGCCTTTCTGATTGTTCCAATGCCTGTAGGTTCTCCCTATTGAGCATTGAAGATATCTTGAAATCTGAGATAGACACGGCGGATGTTGCTGCCTCATTGGATTTGCTGCCTGAAGAGGAGCATGAACTTCTTGGACGATGCTCTGGACGCAAGAGAGGAGCTACTGTGAGTTACATGCCGCCCATATCAGAGTCAGAGGAACCTGGCCCCGGTGCTAAAGCACTCCAGGAGAAGCTACAACAAAAAGAATTGGCCTGTGTTTTTACACTCAGGGGGAGGGATGTAGCGATTGGAACAAGTCAGCCAGGTGGACCTCATAGAATATGAGTTCCCTGATTGGGATTGTTAATTTGGTCTAATCAGGGAGCCCTGGCTGACAGATATAAACAAGGAGTGTCAGAGGTTCTGCTCACTCTGAGAGCTGGCTCTGAGGGAGCTGGATCAGTGTCAGGGACTCTCCACGTGTGAATAAAGGGTGACTTGGTGACAGAATACTGGCCTCCTGGATAGAAGTCCTCATGACGTGCATCCGTCTACTCTCCCATTGGTCGGCATTTCTCTCCGAGAAACCCACGCTAACAATGGAGGCGTGTCCAGACACACAGGGCTGCCCGTTAGAAAAGAATGCTAATGGGGCTCACACGCTTTGGAAGATGAAAGAGAGACATTGTATTGGAAAAGAAGTGGTCCATATCCTGCTTAACATGCCCATCACACCGATTCTGTCGATGGTTACCAAAGCCACGTGGAAAATATCAACTAACACTTTGATGCACTTTAAAGTCACATCGCTTTGTTACCTTCAGCAGTTGTCAATGTGAGCCACACACTGCATAAACTTTGAGCAACTTGACTTTGTAATGTGTACTTCCAAACTCTCAGACCAAGCTCAAGGACAGTTCTGCGAAAGTGAAATTTGCAGAAGTTGTTAAGTTTGACATCATTAAGAAAAGCTGCCTGGCCATTTCTGATACCCTGCTGCAGCATCTCATGGTGCACAGCTCATTAATGATTTAACCATCCTGGAGAAGAGAGACAGAGAGAGAGAGAAGGATTGCAGGAGACTAACAGGGAACCTCCACTCCCTGGTGCAGTTGGCAGTGCAGCGTTAGAGTAAGATAGAGACTAAGATTGTGGGGAGAAAATATACTCTCAAAGAGACCAGCATCAGTAACAAGGCAGGTTAGCTGGGCATTCCCCAACAATGTGGCACTCTGATTTGTCAAACTGCAGTACAGCGCAATGTAGCTGTCCCCATTGCTACCGATTGTTTGGAGCTCCCTAAAATAACATAAAAGGACTGCAGATGCTGGAAATTTGACACAAACAAAAACAGAAAGTGCTGGAGAAACTCTGGAGAAACCTAACTCTGTTTCTCTCTCCAGTTGCTGCCAGACCTGCTGAGTTTCTCCGGTTTTTGTGCCCTGGCACATGCAGTAAGTCTAGTATTCCCTGCAGTGGCTCTAAATTGATTTTCATTCATTTTACTTTCTGTTACACTTAGTCCAATTTAGATACTCTATACTCTGTTTTTTGGTATCCAATCAGGAAACCATTCAACTGTTAGGCATGTGGCTGATCTTCACTCAGCTTTGGGATAACCACTGTAAATGCTTGATGGCTGATGGAGCTATAACTTTTATAGCACCTGTTGCCATGTGCAATGATATTCGCTCGTGTGACATGCCTTCAGGTCATGCCATTTTCTTTCCATCACTCTTCCATTTCCTCTTCATTTTGTTGGCGTTGCTCTCAAAATGCTGGCATCCTGCCTGCAGACTTTGCTTCCACCTGGGTCCAGCCCAGAGTAATGGCGCTGTGGGAGCTGCAGCAAACAATGTAAGTGCGCTTAAGGCCAGGCTGGATAAACAGCGGAGGAAGAACAGGGTGTAAGGGTTTCTGATTGAGCGGGTGATAGGATGGAGGAGTAGGGAAGGGAACTTGTGTAGAGTAGCAGTACCGGTTCGGGCTAGCTCCTGTACTGTAATTACAACATAATCGTCCGCGGTAATGATTATAGTTTTCAGTAAAATTTGTGTTGGCTGCATTTACAATGAAACTTGGCGTGCTGTGACATCATTGCCGTAGCAACAGGCTGCAGTCGAAGGCCAGGAGCTCAACCTGTCACAGAGCATCCCCTTGTTAAATCTTTGCTTTGTTAAGAAGTTCCAGTCTCATGAACAGGATCACTGCAGGTTCTGTCCACATCCTGGCTGAGGCAAACATGGATTTAGAGGGCTATAAATAAAGCTTGTTGCAATCAACTTGTCAAAACCTCACTCAAAGCACAAAGCGAGTTGACTCACATGCTCCTATTACCTGAGCTGTTTGTCAAAGCACAAACCCAATTTAATTTTGTTTGGTGTGTTGCTTTTCCTCATTATCTCTAGCCTGTGAGTGCTAGAGAGTTTTATGACTGGTACCTCCGAGACCAGAGCCTGCTGGCCCGCTGAGCTTTTTACTGAAGATGCAACACAGCTCTACCAATTTCAAGAACAAAAACAGAAATTGCTGGAAAAGCCCAGCAGGTCTGGCAGCATCTGTGAAGGAAAAAACAGAGTTAACGTTTCAGGTCTGGTGACCCTTCAAAATTTCCATCAATTTCAACCCTACCCATTCAAATTATGAACCCAAGAGATATTGCTAATAATTGAACAATAAAGAGAAGTGGGAACAGTTGGAACTTGCTCAATGGGCCAAATGGCTTCCCTGTTTTCTTTTGGTGTATTGTTTGGTGATGTTTTATTCTTACCTGTGAAGGATTCCCTTTCCTCCCCATTGAGATCCTGTCCAGAGGTGGCTCTGGAATGAAAACATACTCCCCTGAGGAGAGATTGCTATAGGGTTTGAAGAAACGCCAGGCGATCTCATTGGAACTTGTTAGAGAATGTGACTATCCAGATGCTGAGAGTCTGTTTCCCCTCAGGCTGAAAGAGAGACCAGAACGAAGGGCTCATGATCTCAGGTAAGGAGCAAGCCGTTTCAGGAGCGACGTCTACACTGAGGATTGTGGATTTTTTGACATTCTTATCCTCAGGGGACTGTGGATGCTCGATCATTGGTAACATTCAAGTCAGAGATCGATAGATTTTGGAGTATTGGACGTAATGGGGCAGTGCGGGAAAGTGATCAGCATGATCTTATTGAATGGTGGAGCAGGCCTGAGGGGCTGAATGGCTTCTTCCTTGTTTCTTATTTGTTGGGCATAATTGCTTTGCTTTTCAAAAGCTGCCATTGGCCTTTTCGATGATACCTGGTACACTTCTTAAAAGATCTTCATGTATTTTTCATTAACCTTTGCCCCTGGGAAATCCCTCTGGCTATGTTTGCAATGGGATATTTTTAAATATGCACCCTGTGTTGTAAATGGATTTAGCAGCTTGCGTTTACATTGTGCCCTTAGGCAGCAGTAGACTGTTCCAATGCATTTCATATTCCAGCTGTGCGATGTACAGACTCTGGGGCTGGGCTGTGTTATCATTCACGCTGTTAGTCTGGGTTACTGAGGCAACACGCACTTTCACATGTACATTGTAGTCCAGCACCATGGATAGTGATGGTAGGAGCTCCATTACCTGACTGACCAGGAAGTCTCACTCTCCCCTTAACCGTCTGGCGTGTGAAGAATTTTCAGGTTGATACTGTTGAACGTCTTTATAAATGCACCTTCCTTGGCCACCAGGTCCATGGCTTCTGTCTGAGAGGGGCAGGAACACTGCCCACAAACCTTCCCTTTAAGCTGTTCTGAGTGCCAATCATGGGAAAACATACAAAATGGGAGCTGGAGGAGGCCAGTCAGCCCTTTGAGCCTGCTCCGCCATCCAATCTAATCATGGCAGCTCAGTCCCCCGTTGCCACTTCCTTTGATCCCTTATGAACTTTATTTTGTACAGAAGTGATTATTTTTGTGCTTTTTATTTTTATATGTCAGGTTTCTAGGAGAAGCTTAATCTATTCAGTTCTTAAACAAACTACAAACTGTAGCCCTAAGAACTCTATCTCTTCAATCATCCACCTGCTCTGACTTTTTTTTTTCTTAGAAACATACAAAATAGGGGCAGGAATAGGCCATTCAGTATGATCATCGAACTCAGTTCCCTGTTCCCACTTTCTCCCCTGTACCCTCTGATCATTTTAACCCTAAGAGCTGTATCGAATGCCTCGAAAAATTCCAACGTGTTGGCCTCGACCGTTTTCTGTGGGAGAGAATTCTGCAGTCTCACCACTCCCTGGGTGAAAAAAAAACTTCTTCTCGTTCTCAATCCTGAATGGCCTTTCCCTGTCACCTTAGATCATGGCCCAGACCTAACTTGCAGTTCTGGGAGTTGCTGCCACTCACTCTCAGACCTTGAAGGTCCACAAAGAAGGCGGGGAAAAAAATTTGCAGGAACATGGCTGCCCAGTGCTCCACAAGATCGCCTTTGAACAAACCGTTGTGACTGTCAAACCTTGAACTCTTGTAACATAGAGAGCCAACCCTCATAGTCAGTGGTACTATTCATAATCTGCTCTTTCTGTTTTGTTTTTGCACTACTTTACATGGAAGAGTTGGTTGTAAAACGTGCCTCAATTCAGCCCTCAGGTTGAATTTTTAAATAAATAAATCTTGGAGAATTGGTTGACACCGTGCCACACCAGCAGACATTTAAGGACAGGTGCTCGGTAAGCGAGGCCTGTTTTCCCTCTGACTGAGTGAGGCCTTTTGTTCTAACACTTGGCTGATTCTGTCTATATTTTTTTCTCTCTCCCTCTCCCTGCACTGCCCTCCCTCAACAGGTAGAATGTAAGAAAGCGCAGCCTAAGGAGGTGATGTTCCCACCAGGGACTCGAGGCCGTGCTCGGGGATTACCGTATACAATGGACGCTTTTATGCTGGGAATGGGAATGCTGGGTAAGGCCTTGACACCATTTCTATTCTGCCATTTTGTGGGGACAGGGGAGGGGAAGATCTGGGGGTGCTGGTTGATTGTTAGAGGTTTTTCTGAAGAGATTTTAATGGAATTGCTAAGGTGTAACCTGAATGAATAAATCAGCAAAGAGGTTGAACAATTTAATTAATGTAGCCGGAGCGAACGCAGTTGATTAATCTTCGCTGAGTTTCAGAATTAAATTAATCAGATTAATATTTAAGGTTGGAAATTTATTTATTAGGGACGAGGGGAAAAATCTTAAGTTTATTAATCTAAATTTATCCTGATTTATTCATTTGTGGGATGTGGGAATCTCTGACAAGGCCTGCGTTTATTTTTCGCTATTCATTTATTTATTCAGAATTCATGTGACACCAGATAATAGACCAACAGGTTTAGTTGAAAATCGCAAGCTTTCGGAACAAGGAGCGAGGATGGATAGCTTGTGATTTCAAATAAACCTGTTGGACCGTAACCTGGTGTCGTGTGAGTTCTGACTTTGTCCACCCTAGTCCAACACCGGCACCTGCACATCATTTATTTATTGACTTCAGTCACATGTAGGCCAGAATGGCTTGAGTTTGGAGTGGGCCTGGTCTGGGTAAAGATAGCAGATTTCCTTCCCTAAAAGATGTCAGTGAACCAGATGGTTTTAAACAGTGATTGATAATGGTCACAGGGATTTCAATTCCAGATGTTTTTGAGTTCAAATTTCAACACCTGCCATGGTTGGGATTTGAACCTGGATCCCCAGAACATTATCTTGCAGATAGTCTGGATTACTAGTCCAGTGACATTGCCGCAATACCGTGGCCTCCCACAACCATGTGCCCCTCTGCATCCTTTGGAGGTGTCAGCTCCCAGTACAGGGTGACATAGCAGAGAGAGAGAGAGGGGGAATGTGTTTCCATTGGTGGAAGGATCTAGAATCAGAGAGCACAGGAATCAATAGAGACAAGAGGGCCCTCTTGTGGCACAGTGGCAGTGTCCCTACCCCTGGACTGGGAGACCCAGGTTCAAGCGCTCCAGAGGTGTGCGATAAAATCCCTGAATGGTTTGATTAGAAAAATAGGTGGAGACAAGAGGGAAGACATGGCAAGTGGTTAGGGTCTGCGAGATAGTGTGATGGTGGCAGGTTCAACCAAGCCTTTCGAAAAGGAGTTTGATTGTTCTCTGGACAGTAAGAATCCGCAGGGTCACAGGGAGTCAGGACCTGGGACAAGGGGTTTATCAGGGATCAGTAACTGGGTGCGGTGTAAAGGTTAATGTGGTGGGGTCAAAGGGAGGGGTTTATGGGCTCAGGTGTAGGGGGGAGCCTGGGAGCCCAAGGCAGAATGAGCACCATTTCTGTCCCCGCCCTAGCAGGGAGAGGGTGGGAAAATGGCACTCTGTAGGTTACAGGTTTGGAGAGACAGGCCGAGCACACGAGGCTAAATGGCCACCATCTGTGCCTGGAACAATTCTGCCTTTGTAGATGCGGTTCAGTGAGCAGCAGCTGACCTTACCCCAAGCACAGCCCAAATGAACCTGTTCCACGTATCACCGGAGACAACGGGCAGAGAATGACTCACAATGGGGCAGCACGGTGGCTCAGTGGTTAGCACTACTGCCTCACAGCGCTAGGGGCCCATGTTCGATTCCACCCTCGGGCAACTGTCTGTGTGGAGTTTGCATATTCTCCCAGTGGGGTGATGTGGGTTTCCTCCCACAGTAGAGGGATGTGCAGGCTGGATGTGTTAGCCATGGGGAATGCAAGGTTATAGGGATAGGATAGGGTTGGGTCTTGGTGGGATGCTCTTTGGAGGGTCGATGTGGACTGGAGGGGCCAAATGGCCTGCTTCCAAACTGTAGGAATTTTAGTCCCAGCCTCAATGCCCATAAACAACCAGCTTTCAGCTGGGATCCCTGGGTGTTCTTGGATAGACAATTGGCAAATTTAGCCCTTTAAATTCTTCATGAAAATGCCCCTTCTAATATGTAATAATACGTAACAACATATCAATGAAGCCATTAATCTCCTCAGTGCATAAAGGATTCAGGTTTACAGGCAGGAGCTTTTCCAACCATCGACCTTTGTTGATTGAGTCTCCGCTCTGATCTGTGATAAAAGAGGATGTGCCAATCTCCAATGGGAAGTCTGTTGGAATTGCGAGCTTAGATCAGAGATGAGAAGATTTTAGTCACAACCAGTGGTGGTTTTTGTGTGTGTGTGTGTTGGCGGGGGAGGGGGATGTAGTGGTGGTAGAAGTGATTGCTGTGGTCTGGGGGTCACAGAGTCAAAGAACCCAAACATAGACTGAGACTGGGTCTGGGACTGGGACTGCCATAGTGTTAAGGGCTTGGATGGAGAGGAATTTGTTAAGTGCATACAAGAAAAGTTTCTGATGCAGTATGTGGATGTACCTGCTAGAGAAGGTGCAAAACCTGATGTACTTTCAGGAAATAAGGCAGGACAGGTGAACGAGGTGTCAGTGGGGGTGTACTTTGGGGTCAGTGACCACAATTCTGTTAGTTTTAAAGTTGTGATGGAAAAGGATTGAGCGGATCCAAAATTTAAAATTTTAAATTGGAGGAAGGACAATTTTGACGATATTATGTAAAAACTTTCAAAAGTTGAATGGTGGTGGATGCTCACGGGTAAAGGGACGGCTGGAAAATGGGAAGCTTTCAAAAATGAGATAACCAGCATACAGAGACAGTATGTTCCTGTTACGGCGAAGGGCAGGGCTGGTAGGTGTAGTGAATGCTGGATGACTAGAGATATTGAGGTTTTGGTCATGAATAAGAAGGAAGCATATATCAGGTTTAGACAGCAGAGATCGAGTGAATCCCTAGAAGTGTATAAAGACAGTAGGAGTATACTTAGGAGGGAAATCAGGAGGGTAACAAGGGGACATGGGATAGCTTTGGCAAATAGGGTTTAGGAGAATCCAAAGGGATTCTACAAATACATTAAGGACAAAAGGGTAACCATGGAGGGAATAAGGTCCCTTAAAGATCAACAAGGCCACGTACAATTACAACATTCAAAAGGCATCTGGATGGGTATATAAGTAGGAAGGGTTCAGAGGAATATGGGCCAAATGCTGGCAAATGGGACTAGATTCATTTAGGATATCTGGTCGTCATGGATGAGTTGGACCAAAGGGTCTGTTTCCGTGCTATATATTTCTATGACTCGATGACTCTAACTGACAACGCAGGCAGATATTCCAGCCCTCAGTCCTAGAGTACCATTGACATTGGGGTGTAGAGGATGGGGTGTTTATTTAGGCCATGCCAGGCTGATATTTTGGATGGAGTATTTTATGAACAAGCTGTGATTTGCCCTTGTCTGTGAAAAAAGCAACATTTCAAAACAAAGATTACATTTCATTCCTGCCTCTTTCCCCCTCTTTCCACTCAAACCAACCACCCCCAGCATGTACACTTTAATGTTTTTCTATTAACATTAATTACAGGATTGGTCCTTTTTCTGTTTGTAGCTTTATAATGGTTGATAAATAACTGGAGAAAGCTGGCAGATGCAGTCAAACCTAGAAGGTGCTTTCATTGGCTTCCCAAATGGGCCTTAATTTGGATTGAGATGTACAATCAATTCTCCCTAATCAAATCAGGCTTGGAGGCCCGGTAGGCCCTGCCTGTCCAAACTCCTAATGCCTCATTGCTTTCAAATCACCGCCGACATTTTCTACTGTGCGTGAATCCAACTTACTTCAAAAATGTGCCAGGATTCCCAAGGTATCTGCTCAGTCATATTTTCTTTGAGGCGAGTTGAAAAGAAAGCGACAAAGAGCAGGTGGTAAGCATTGTTAGCAGTATCCAAGGCCCCAGCCTGTTATGCTCCCTGAGGAAGACATCCTTGGCTTTAGGAGGCTGGAGGACTGGACACTGAATGCAAGCCCAGAGTTCTCACTGAGGCAGCAGTGACAGAGCTGAACAGGAGAAGGTTGATGGTCAAACTCAAGATTGGGGAACAGGATCCAGGTGGAGATGGTGGAATATGGCCCCACCGCAAGTGAAAGGCCAATTAAGGTTAATCACCTCCAATTTTGGTGTCATTTGCAAACTTATTAACCATACCTCCTATGTTCACATCCAAATCATTCGCACAAATGATGAAAAGCAGTGAATGCAGCACCGATTCTCGTGGCACGCTGCTGGTCAGAGGTCTCCAGTCTGAAATGCCACCCTTTACCACCACCCTCTGTCTTCTACCTTCAAGCCAGTTCTGTATCCACATCACTAGTTCTCTCTCTGTTTCATGTGATCTAACCTTGCTAACTGGTCTGCTATGAGGAATCTTGTCAAGGTGTCTTATTAGGAAAGGGTAGACAGGCCAGGCCCATATTCTCTGGAGTTTAGAGGAGCTGGAGGTGACTTAATTGCAGTATAGATTCTGAGGCAACTTGACCGGATGAATGTCAAAAGGATGTTTCCTCTTGTGGGAGAATCTAGAACTGGGGGTCATAGTTTAAAAATAAAAGGGCACCCTTTTAAATCAGAGATGAGGAAACATGTTTTCCCCCAGAGGGCTGTGAGTCTTTGGAATTTCCTTCCTCCAAAGGAACCCTGTGCAGAATCTTCAAAATGCTTTCTTTTTAAGGCAGATGTAGATAGCTTCTTGATTACCCAGGGGACAAAGGATTATCAGAAATATGCTGGAATGTAGAGTCGAGGTTAAAATCAGATCAGCTGCGATCTTATTGAATGGCAGAACAGGTTTGAAGGGCCAAGTGTCTACTCTTGTTCCTTGGTGTGTAAGGGAAGCAGTCCCTCCGTCTGTGTATCACCCAGCTGTCAAATGACTGGGGTAAGGGGGAAGGGAGTGAAATATATTAATGACCTTTACTGTGCCCCTGCCTTAGCTGAGGGATTGCTGGCTTAGTTGGGATCAGTTCATGTATGGAGCTTGTAAGGTGTCAGATGAATGGGATGAGAAAATGTTGCAGTTGTAGTTTAGAGTCATAGAGATTTACAG